AGAAAGGTCATTAGTCCCAGCATGTACAATAATGTGTGAAGGAAGTACTTCAACCTCCATAGATTCCACTTCAGATTTTATTTGTTCTGCGGTTTTGCCAGGAAACGTGCGTTTAATAGTTTTCTTTCGGGAGATCTTTTTAGGATCAATATGTTTGATGATAGAATCGCCGATAATTAGGATCGGGCTGTCGCTGCTACTTTTGTCTGTAGTATGATGAGTTGGGGTAATATTTGATAATGAGTCGGGTTGAGAGGAAGTACTTTCATTCTGGGAGCGCGGATCTTTTGAGGTTATATTGTTATTGACCGCAATTTCTTTCTGTGAGAAAGTCGAAGATTTAACCTTCGTTTCGTAAATCTCTTCCTCGTCCTCCTGTTCAGAGCTTAAAACTTCAAACTGATTCTTTACTTTCAATGAGCTAGTAGCTTCAGGAGAAGAAATGGTAGCCATTTTCTTTTTCCGTTTCATCACTCTGGTGAATCCGAGCTTTTCATCTTAGGTTATTATTCTCGTTTTCCAGGGCTTCAATCCTTTTTTTATTTTCTTCTAGTTCATCTTTTCCTTCCCGTTGGATTAACTTCATTGCGGTTAGTAGGCTTGCTTTTTCATCTTGAAGGTCTATCACCTTAGCTCGAAGCTCTGACAAAGATACACATAAATCTTTATTTTCTTTTTCTAATTTATCATTCTTGTTGCTCAGCACCAGCTTTTCCTTTTTCAAATCACTAACGACTTCTTCTAATGACAGTATAGAGTAAGCTTTAAACTCTTTGATGCTAGATATTTCATTGCTAATGACCTCTAATTTTCGGTTGACAGAATTGGCAAAACACTCCATGTTAGATTTAATTTCATGAATTTCCGAGTTATGTGTGTAATTTGTTTCATTCGGATTAACGGAGGGATTATACATATTAGATCGTAGTGTTTCATTATTCAGAAGACTGTTTCGTGAACTAATATGTAAATTACTATCTTGTGACTTGAGAGTGGAATGCAAATTACTGTACTTTGAACTAACCGAATCTGTAATGACTTTGTCGCTCGAAATTTGACAACTGAGTCTAGTTCTGAGTCTAGTTCAACTTTGAAAACTAAGTCTAGTTCCTTCGATATCAGTTTAATCTAATAATCATAATATTTGCTGTGTTGGTGTAATGTACTCAGGTGAATAAGATGCTTGTGTGATGTTACACTGAGTGTATATCCACACCGGGCAGGCCGCTTGTATCGCATACTCGAACCGACCTGACCGCGTAGCTCAGTTGGCAGAGCATTGGGCTAGTATTCCAAAGGTCGTAGGTTCGAATCCCACCGTGGCCGGGCATATTTTTCAAGCCTGCATGCCCGGTGTGGATATACACTCAGAGTAACATCACACAAGCATCTTATTCACCTGAGTACATTACACCAACACAGCAAATATCATATTTATTTAATAAATTCGCGACACATTTTGAAATTATCAATACGATAAATTCGCAACTTCACATAAAACCACAAACATCAGGCAAGAGTTTATGTTATAAATGTAATTAGCAATTTACTCATATAGACATATAGTAAATTCAAAGGTGGAGCTCATGCTGAAAAGCGTGACCTTTTTCTTTGCCAAACTATACTTATAATTTGCTTTAGTTAAAACTATGGTAGTTTGCTTGTGATTCTAGCTCCCACTAAGTCATCTAAACTGACCAAAACCAATTTGAAGCAATTTTACATTTTTCGGGCGAGCATGCCCTCCAGACCCCGTATATCTTCCAACACTATTGCTGTGACAGTTGGATCATGTTTAGCGTATCATGTTTGCGTTTACCTGAAAACTACGGTGTCCAACTTAGCTGAAAATTAACCCCGCCCCCCCCAAAAAAAATCTGTTCCGCCGCGATTGATGTTTATCGTATACTTACCAATACACATATGATGATGATTACTGTGAATAAGAATAGGGCAACGAACATTAATCCAATGGCAGTGAATAGCCGTATCTTCATGTTGCGGTCTAAAAGTGAATTGAAGTGAGTGATCACCAGCTCAGGAATTAAAAGAGAATCAAAACAGTGACCATATGTTGATGCTAAATTTAATGAAAGATAATGAGATTCTTGTGCTGAACTATCACCAACATGGTCGTCGTGACGTTATAGGCTTACATCATACACGGCTAAAAATGCTGAGCCCGCTGTTTAAATTAACAGGGTTGAACAATGTTTTGCTGCCCACGTTGTTCACACTTGTCAACAATATTGAACAATATTGTTGAGCTTGAATCGGGTTATGTGGCAAATCAGCTTAATATATATATATATATATATATATATATATGTGTCGTTTTTACTACAAAACTTTGCCTGACGTTGATGGAAATTACCTGATATTATCATGGGTTTATATTACATGGACAGATGAATAGAAGGAACACATCTCTTACACGAACGTGAGAAGATACTATATGTCATCCCCACAACCATAAATAGGCTAAAAGCTATAGAACTATTTATGAGTAATTCCTGCATTATATATAATAAACGTACCTGTGTTAGTTTTTAACCTGTCATCTTCCAGCCCAGGAACACATGGATTTCCACGAGTGACTGTATAAAAAGACTAACATGTCAAAAGCTTCAAGCTTGTTTCTTGTGAGGGAAACGCGTTACCCCGACCCTGCCGCAATAGAAGTGGCAACACGTGCAATGTTATTCTGGTCACAAGAAGCTTAACCACTGTGGAGTATGGTCTGATTGATAGAAACAAAAATATTATGTCGCTCAAAAAAGAACCTATAACATGCGTTTAAAAATGTATGAATTTGTAGTTATTCTGTCATGAATGTATATATATAATAGCGACGACGTGTTGGAAATTAACTGATTTTGGCATGTATCGATATATAGTTGTGTAAATTTGGAGATCTTTTACTAGTCCACTGGTAGTCGCCCAAAAAATATTTTTCACTAACCATTAATCCACTTGTCAAGTAAAGCCATTTTATTACATGGCTGACTAAATGCAATATTAGCCAACAAGTTGCATTATGATATTTTCGGCAATCGTTGCGACTATTTTTGCAGTGCAACTATTGCAACTAGCTTCGTGATGCCGAAAGTTTCCCCGCTCTTGTATAATATTGGGTTGATATATTTTTAGACTGGGAAAATGGGATTTGGGTTGCTGGGACTGGGATTTGGCCACTGGGAATGGGAAATGAAGTCCTCAAAAATGGGAATGGGATTGACGTAATGCGAGTCGGTTCCAATTTTTCCACGTTTTAAGTATTTTAAAATACACTTTTGATCCGTTTTTGGTGTCTTTGGTCATAATTTCTGTTGTTAACTATATTATTCACAGCACTACCTGCGAACAGGCATACTCTGGCGCCCCATTATGCGTGTCCCCAAGTCAGATGCACAGCGGAATATATGCCGTTTCCGGTATATACTTCATTTAACCCTCAGTATATACCTCAAAGGCAAAGCACAACCGCTTCTGCCACACGGTGCGCGCACACGGTGGCTTAAAAGGTCTTAAAACTGTTTATTCTACCGATAAATAACGTTGTTTTATTGACTGGGATTTCAATAACTCGGACTGGGATTTCTAATAAAAGTCGAAATGGGACTGGGATTTTTCCAAAATTTCAGGTGGGAAATGGGATTGGGAACCCCCTCTCTTCAGGACCCTCTTTTAAACTGTGTACTTATTTGGATAACTCCGTCTCATTAGCGTACGCATTATGTTAAAAGGATGTTTGATGTGTGGTTATAATTTTGTGTAAAAATATCACGATCCTGCAGACCGACGACCCAACGATCCTGCAGACGAGAAAGAAATAGCCAACAAAGGGTCGTTTAACGATGAACACATTGCGTACGTATGAGTTTTGTCGGACATTCTGAAGTTTTGTGGCGCATTATGCATAATGTAACGTAAATTTGGTTGAATTGAGTAAAAGAAGTTACTTTATATTTTGTGACGATCCTTTCAACTCGAGAAAAATTCGCGTCATGTCACCTATACACAGTTGAAACTACTGTAGCTATAGTTCAACCTAATTGTTCAAATATAGTTACCTGTTCGAGAGGAAGTTAAACGGGATGAGGAAGGGATGATCACTGAAAATAAAGTCAAAGGAAAAATTAAGTGGATTCCCCATTTAAGAGATGTGAATTTTAAAGAAAACTTGGCATCTAGAAACAAAACTAATTTAACTGTTGAATTCAGTAGAAAGATGGCAGTAAAATTGTTTAAATATTTACTTGTTTTCGGGGTAGGAAACGTTGATGGTGTCCTGAACGTTACTAAAAATATTGGTTAATTAAAAGTATATATAAATTAAAGGATAAGATTCACCAAGAAAAATGTGAATGCATATGTTGTATATATTAAACGTGAACGACACGAAATTCTACATTGTGTCATTTGGTAAGAATCCTAAAAACAGTGAAGTAACTTTTTTTCCCAACCTAAATATCAGCTATCTCTTGTATACATGCAAGCATTATATAAATACTTAATTATGTATGTACGTTTTCTGTATAAACACGATGCATAGGTACAGTATAAAGTTTTTTCACATGATATTGTCGGATTAATTTTCACCAGAGATTTTGCGACTTGTTATACATATATTAGTGTGATGTAAACCTGTTTGAATAAATTTGATTCAACTGAATATTAAAAAACGGAATAATTTCACTGATAAAACGTATCAATACAAATATACAATTCTGTAAAAAACGATAGTTATACTGTATATATATTTTTTGACGATTTTTTCAAGTGGGACAACACAAAAATTTGCGTCATGCCACCTTTAAACAAGCAGTAGAAAATCCTTGTTCAACCTGTTAAAAGGGAATAGGGATCACGAATCAAGGCAAAAACCGGTTCCCCTTATTGCGCATTCTGAATATACAATTACCAGCATGCTTTTCGGACGTATCATGGTCATAGTTGTATTCAGAATACGTAATACGGGGAACGGCTATTGTTGAAATAGTTACCTGTTTGAGAGGTAGTTCGACGGGGTAAAGAAGAGATGATCACTAAAAATAAAGTCAAAGGACATGCAAATTGCAAATTAAGATTTCCCCTACGAAATGTGAAAGAATACTTACCATGCAGGACATAAGCTGTTCAACTTTTGCAAAATTAGCAGCAATGTTTTTAAATAGTTACATTTGTTTGAGTTATGGGCCGGAATGCGGATAATTTAGCTGTTAAACTTGTAGCTAAAGCTAGCAGCAATGGACGATTCCCCTTATTACGTTTTCGTAGCGCTTTGCATTGTGGTTATAGTGGTATCACTGATATTCAAGATGGCTTATTTTTTGTCCTGACCCGTGCAAGAACTTTTAAAAAAGCTAGGGTCAGGTGCACGATATCCAACAGCAAAATATTCGCGAAAACATTCAATATTTTTATTCGAGGCCGCTATCTTTATCAGAGATACCACTATAACCACAATGCAAAGCGCTACGAAAACGTAATAAGGGAAATCGTCTATTGTTCAAATAAAACTTATTTGAGTGCAATAGCTTTATAAGTTTTTATATTGCATTAAATCAAACAGCGCAAGTTTTTTTGGGGACACCCGGTATATATATTGAATATAGTAAACGCGACATGACACGAAATTTTATATTGTGCCATTTGGAAACAATCGTAAAAACTGTAATGTCTTTTCAGTTAAATGCCAGCTATCTTTTGTACAAGCAGGCTAAATTACTTACCTATGTATGCCAGTTGGTCCATGAACACAGCGCATGCATATACGTATGAACTATGCGTCGGATTACTTTTCAGGGTTTTTGTCAACCTTGTTCCCAGGGCTTTCTAGTTGTTCCCCGGGGAAGAGAGAGGAGAGAAGAAAGCCCTAATCCGGGCCGGCCACTTCTGTATAGTGATTGGATGATCGCTTCTGGAATATGATTGGTTACACTAAATTATGCAATTATTTATCAAATAATTTATCATAATAATTTAAAAGCGTTGTACCAAACAAGGAGCGTATTTCACAACTATAAATTAAATTTCGATATGGCAGAAAACGTTACGCCAACAAAATTGTTGTATCGATGTAGCAATGCCTATAATATATTAAGAAATACTGCAAATAATCACCCATATATGCATGCCGATAATATATTGAGATATACACTGCAAATAGATAAGATTTGACGTCTTTGCAGTAGCGATGCCGATAATATATTGAACCATATAATAAACTCCTCGAAGATTAATTCCTAATTTATTTTCTTTTACGCATAAATTATAAATAAAGTGGAAGTCAAGTCCGTTCTGCGCATCGGTTCTGCTCATAACAATGGGAGGACCCTCTAAATGCCTCACATGTAAACATTGCCTAAATTTCGAATGTTTCGAATTTTTCTGAACATAAACTCTATTTCATATTCATTTAGAAGCATAGCGAACCAAAATGGTGTTAGATATTCAGACAGTACATCATATTTTAAAAAATACAGCAGTTCAAAATGTAAACAAACCGTTTGTTTACATTACGGACTTGACTTCCACTTTAAACATATGCATAACGCACAATAAAATTGCTCAAATGGTGGTCAATTTTGGATCACGTGGCCGGCCCGGACCAGGGTTTTCTTGAACCAGAAAGCCCTGGGAACGAGGTTGGGTTTTTGTGGTTCATTATATATATAGTGTGACGTAAACTTGTTTGCGTAAGTTTACTTGAATTCACATGGAAAAATTGAATGATTTTACTGAGAGAAAACGTATAAATGAAATTCCGTAAAAGAAGTTCCTTACTCCATATTTTTTGACGATTCTTTCAGGTAGGACAATAAAAAATTTGCATCATGACACGTTTTGAAACTGCTGGGTTCAACCTATTGAAAGTGACCGGCAAGCAATGTAATTGTTGAAATAATTACCTGTTTGAGAGGTAGTTAGATAGGGCGTGGAAGGGATGATCACTAAAAAATAAAGTCAAAGGACAAATTAAGATTCCCCACAGGTAATATGGGAGGAACGTAGCCAAGAACAGGACATAAGCTGTTGAACTCTTCCAAAGTTAGCAGTATATGGTTAGCACAAGTAGTTACCTGTGTTTGAGTTAAGGGATGTAAACGTGGCACTTGTGATCACTGAAAATCAAAGACAAATTACGATACGCCGTGAGAACTTTGAAAGAAAACTTTTAATACTTTGAACTTAGTCATAAAGGCAGGGACGTCGCTATAGGGTGTGTGTGTGGGGGGTGTAATACCCCCCCCCCCCCAACGTTGGTCAAAGTTGGTGAAAATGGAACTGATATTTGCCCAAAGTTGGAAAAAAGGAACTGATATTTGCTTAAAATTGAAGGTAAAACTTGGAAAAATTTGGTCAAAGTTTCATGGGATAAAAGAAGGTTGAAGTTGCTCAATGTTATGAAATGGTTCGCAATTTTAACAATTTTAAAGCCTTTGTTATGTTTGCGGTGAAAAAATTGGAAGCCTTGCTTATCTTGGTCGAAAAATTTGGATGCTTATGGTAATCCGGAAAAATTTTTTCGACTATGCCTATTTTTAGTCCGGAAAATTTTTTTTCCCCCCCCCCCCCCCCTCCGTCGACAACATTTTCGGGAAAAATTTGTATGACTTGGTCAAAATCGTAGGAAATGTTGGTCAAAACATGACCACCCCCCCCCCTCCAATGTTGATGGCTTCGCGACGTCCCTGCATAAAGGTAGCAGTAAAACTGAAGCACAAACTTCGAGAAATTATCAAAACGAAATATTGTTTGTCAGGAAGTTAATTAAGTAACTTCTTGGTAAGAAACAGTGCCTTTTACGTATACGTGTCAATTACCTTTCTTATTAATTTTTAAAGTAACGGTGAATGATATGTGGCGTATTTTGTCCCCGCTTGTTTGTAGTAGGTCTAATGATAATTGGAATGGGCCAACACCAGGGAACATTCTGACGAAAACCCTAACCACCCCAGATTTTGGACCTAAATCTTGCTTGACGTAGTTGACGATGATGTCCATTACAACTGAAGACATTAAGACGACTGGTTTTCCCTCGTTTGGGTATTTAAATTTCCATGTCAAATTTACTGGCCCTTTATTAACTTCCACGACTTTTGGTGGAGTTTCTGTAAATATCAGCGCATCTGCAAAGGAAAAGAAAATGTCTTATGCCAGGAATGATCCTAAAGGCCCGTTTACACTTGCAATTTTCACTTTCTACGGTGATTTTTTGAAATCTTTAATGTAAACACCCTGCGATTTTGACTACAACCCCGAAAGGGGGGAGGGGGAATTTTCCCCCTGCCCCGCCGAAAGGGGGGGGGCAGGGGGGAAATTTCCCCCTGCCCCGAGGTTCTGGGGGGCCCTAGAAATTTTTTGTTGGGCCCCAGTCATTTTTTTGCGCGAAATATTTCTGGTTTTGGATCGAAATATTTGTGTTTTTCGGGCAAAGAACCGAAATTTGGTATGAAAAATTTGCAGAAAATTCCCACAAAAGCATTTACAATGTACTCGTCCGAAAAATTTTTTTGCCTAAAAAGTTGTCGACAGGGGGGGAGATTGGAGTTCGGAAATTTTTTTCCGAAAAAATGTTTTGAGTAGGGGCCCCTAAGAAAAATTTGCGGCGACCCTGAGTCCCGTGAACATTTAATCGAAAATTCGGCGACCCTGAGTCCCTTGAACATTTAATGAAGAAAGCAAGCCGTTTTTGTTTCTTGGAAACCATAAGGAACCCTCAAAATGTTGTCATCAATTTTTCTAAAGTGTCCAGGGGCTTTTAAAGAGAGATTTTAAAACGGGCTGTATATATAGACGAGCCTAAAAAATCGTCATAACTTTTCGGTAGGAACCAAACTTACTAAATATAACAAGAAAAATACATCATTCTTCTTGGTTCTTTGTTATTTTTTAACATTATTTCTATTTAACTTAATTACGGAGTTAATAATAACATTACTGCCTATAGTACATTTTCAAATATAGCCACATTTGTCGAGGAAGAATGTGAGCATTTTTACTCTTATAAAGATTAAATTTTCAATAAATACGCGTCCTTACCTTTTTCGCCAAGCGATAAAGACACACAAAGTCCAATACATAGCAAAACACTGAACACCATCTATAAAATTATGGTATGCACGAAAATTAAATTCAAAAATCTTTCCAGGCACGGATTTTCTGGTGGTGGGGGGGTGGGGTGATGCGGGGGGGTGCGCACCCCCCCCCCCC